GAACTCGCCTTTGTGCAAACCACAACAAACCTTGATGACCTGCAGCGCCCGCGTACCCGATTGATGCTCAACGTGGGTAATCCGGACATTGCTTTTAAAGCGGCGTTGCTCCCCAGTGATGGTGTTGGGCTTGCCCGCCTGGAGTTCATCATTTCTAACCATGTCAAACTACATCCCATGGCAGCGATCCACCCCGAGCGCTTGAGTGATGATGAACAGAAGCAGGTGGCGCAGTTAACTCACGCGCACGCCTCTGCAGCCGAATTTTTTGTTGATACCCTCGCTGAGGGCATCGCTACCATCGCCGGTGCATTTTTCCCGCGTCCGGTCATTGTGCGCCTGTCTGATTTCAAGAGTAATGAATACGCTGCTCTGTTAGGGGGTGCTGTGTTTGAGCCCCAGGAAAGCAATCCCATGATCGGTTTCAGAGGGGCGTCGCGATACGCTCATCCCGATTACCGCGAAGGTTTTGCGTTGGAATGTGCCGCCTTCAAAAAGGTGCGTGAGAAAATGGGGTTTACTAATGTGCAGGTAATGGTGCCCTTCTGCAGGCGTGTCACAGAAGGTCAGCAGACACTTGCAGAAATGGCGGATAATGGCCTGGAGCGCAGCGCAGACTTTCAGGTGTACCTGATGTGCGAAATTCCCAACAATGTCATTCTGATTGATGATTTTGCTAAAGACTTTGATGCGTTTTCAATCGGCTCTAATGATCTGACACAATTAACTCTTGGGGTGGACCGGGATTCCGCTCTGGTTGCTTTTGATTTTGATGAACGGGACCCCGGCGTCCTGCAGATGTTACGTATGGCCATCGAAGGGGCTCACCGTAACAACAGGCCGATCGGTATCTGTGGGCAGGGCCCATCAGACTATCCGGACCTGGCCGCGTACCTGATCGAGTTGGGTATCGACTCCATCAGTCTTACGCCGGACTCTCTGTTATCAACGCTGGTGGCGGTGCAGGCGCTCGAGCAGTCTCACAAGGACAAGAACAGCATACCCTCGCGGTCTCCAGCGACGAAGCCGTGAGCGCGGCACAGGCTGCGCAAAATCTCTGCGTCAGCGGCGGCGTTGATACTGATCTGGCTGATACCCCGCGTCCGCGCGTAGGTGATGATGTTCTGCATCAGTGCGTGTGCCATGCCCCGGCCTCTGTGGTCCGGCGCCACGGCGATCAGCAGGTCGGCACGTAACCGGTCAGGGTCTTCCAGCAGTCTGGCGATGGCATAGATAGAGCGGGTGCCAGGTATCCCCGGATCTGTCAGCACCAGCGCCATCTGACGGTCGTAATCTATCTGCGTGAAGCGTGCCAGCACCAGGTCCGGCACATCGGTAAACGCGGCGCGTAGAGCTGTTTCATCTTCAGGCACCACCGCGCGTAACAGGAATGATCCGCCATCTGGCAGGGTCGTTTGTGCTTCAAGCTCTGTCGGGTAGGGTTTTATCGCCAGGCGATCAGCGTCTGCAGGCGCGACGTAAGCCACGCGAATTCGTGCATCCAGCGCAATAACGCCATTTGCGTCTGCCAGCAGCGGGTTGATGTCCAGCTCCTGTACCGCTGGCAGATCACTGATTAAATGAGACAGTCGCACAAGGGTCAGCGCTATTTTGTCGATGTCGGCTGCCGCGACATCCCGATAACCCTGCAGCAGACGATAGATGCGGGTTCTTGATATGAGTTCACGAGCAAGTTTCAGATTCAGTGGGGGTAACGCCAGGGCTTTATCGTCCAGCACCTCTACGGCCGTGCCACCGTGGCCAAAAAGCAGTACCGGTCCGAATTGGGCATCGTTGATCATGCCCGCAATAAGCTCATAAGCGCCACTGCGTCTGACCATGGCTTGTACGGTAAACCCCTCAATACGCGCGTTAGGCCGGGCTGCCTTTATCCGGGCAAGCATGTCAGCTGCCGCTGCCTGCGCCTGCTGCGGGTGGATATCGAGGATCACGCCACCCACGTCGGATTTGTGGGTGATGTCCCGGGAGAGAATTTTGATCGCCAGATCGCCGTCGAAGTGCCCGGCCAGTTGCCCCACTTCCGCAACAGAATGAGCCACCTCAGTGCGCACAATGGGAATACCGTACGCTGCAAGCACCTGTTTGGCTTCCGCTTCCGACAACCAGCTGCGCCCTTCAGCGAGCACCGTATCAATAATCTCCTGGGCAAGTTTGCTTTGGGGTTCGAAGGCTTCGGGCAACGATGGCGGCACTTCCAGCAGCATCTGCTGATTACGCCTGTAGTTAACCATCTGCATGAAGGCACGTACAGCGTCTCCCGGTGTTGCATAGGTGGGAATGCCGCGTGCCTGAAGTTGCTGGCGCGGCTCGCGGGTAGAATATTCACCGGTCCAGCTGGTCAACAGACATTTGTCCAGGTCTGCCGGTATGGCCGCCATGACCGCACTGGCAACTTCCGCTGAGGAAGCCAGCGCTGTGGGACAGTTGATGATCAATAGCGATTCGGTGTCCGGCTGTTCGAGCAGGACTTCGAGGGCTGCAGCATAGCGTGCGCCGGTAGCGTCACCGATAATGTCCACCGGATTGCCGTGGGACCAGGTTGCCGGCAACACCGCATTCAGACGCTCGATGGTTTGTGTGGACAGCTCTGTTAATTGCCCGCCTTCTGTGATCAGGGCATCAGCAGCCATCACGCCCAGCCCGCCGCCATTTGTGAGGATGGTCAGACGGTCAGTTTGTGGCACCCTGGCCATGGCCAGGGTTTCCACCACATCAAACAACTCTTCCAGATCGTATACACGGAGCATACCTGCGCGTCTGAAAGCTGCATCATAGACTTCATCCATACCTGCCAGCGCACCGGTGTGTGAGGCTGCCGCCCTCGCGCCGGCGGCATGACGACCCGCTTTCACCACAACCACCGGTTTGCTCCGAGCCGCGGCGCGCGCGGCGGACATGAATTTACGCGCATGGGTGACAGCTTCGATATAAAGCAGAATAGATTCCGTGCCGGGATCGGCGGCCAGATAATCAAGCATGTCGCCAAAATCCACATCCGCCATGTCGCCCAGTGAGACGACATGGGAAAAGCCGATGCCCTGAGGTTTTGCCCAATCCAGCACAGCGGTAATGACGGCGCCGGATTGTGCAACCAGGGCGATAGTACCCGGCTGCGGATAAGCCGAAGCAAAACTTGCATTCAGACCCACACCCGGAAGCTGCAGGCCAACGCAGTTCGGCCCGACAATGCGCAGGAGTTTCGGTTGTGCGGCATCCAGCAGGGCCTGCCGCCTGACAAGTCCCCCAGGACCGCTGTTAGCGCCAAATCCCGCTGTGATGACACAGACGCCCCGCGTACCACGCTCCGCCAGCGCCGCAACGATTGTCGGTACGGTGTCCGGGGGTGTGGCGATAATGGCCAGATCCGGGGCTTCGGGCAGGGCTTCTACCCGGGCATAAGCCTGATGGCCCAATATCTGTGTGGCGCCCGGGTTCACCGGGTAAACAGTGCCTTTGAAGTGCGACAGGACGTTGGCGAGCAGAATGCGGCCCAGTGACCCTTCGCGCTCACTGGCGCCCACTACGGCTACGGAAGCAGGTTGGAATAGCGCGTCCAAATTACGAATGGTCATGGCAAAAAAACTACAAAGAGACTGACCATATTAATGCGTTCTTCGCACCATGGGCATCGTGGTATTTACGCATAAAGGAAATTACGGCTACGGGTTATACATATTATTGGATGAGCCGGTGGCTACTGAACTGTGATCTGGAGATGGAACCCTCATGAACACCTCTGTTGCGAACGACCTGTTTGCATATGCCGATGATCTGGGCCCCGGCAAGATCATCCATATGTTTGATCCGCTAAACGGATTAAAAGCTATTTTAGTTGTAGATAACGTGGCTGCTGGACCTGCCATAGGCGGCGTTCGCATGGCGATAGATGTGACTACCGACGAATGTGTACGTCTGGCTCGAGCCATGACGCTGAAAAACGCTATGGCCGGTCTTGCTCATGGCGGCGGCAAGGCGGTTATCCAAGCCGACCCCAATATGCCTGCAGAGGCCAAAAACAAGTTGATCAGTGCTTTTGCTCAGGCGATCAATCAGATTGAAGATTATATTCCAGGCCCGGATATGGGTACCAACGAGGTGTCTATGGCGATAGTTCGGAATATCACCGGCCGCGCCGTAGGTCTGCCACGAGAAGTTGGCGGTATCCCATTAGATGAGATTGGCGCAACTGGTTATGGGTTAGCCATTGCTCTGGAGGCGGCAGAGGCGTTTATCGACTTCAACCTTAGTGGCGCGCGCATTGTCATTGAAGGATTTGGTTCAGTAGGTCAGCACGCGGCACGCTACCTCTCAGAGCGGGGCGCGCGGCTGGTCGGAGTAGCTGATAGCGGCGGCGTACGACTCTGTACTGACGGCTTTGATCTACCGAAGCTGCTGGCGTTTAAGCGCAGCGGCAATAGCGTGGTTGATTTTGACGGCGGAGAGCCTGCCTCAACCCAAGCACTGATTGCGGCTGAGTGTGACGTCTGGATACCTGCCGCTCGCCCGGACGTCATTCATGAAGGAAATGTCGACGATTTCAATACCAAAATTATTGCCCAGGGTGCCAACATACCTGCAACCGAAGCCGCTGAGCGCCGCCTGGCTGAGCGCGGCATTCTGGTTATTCCTGATTTTGTTGCCAATGCCGGTGGTGTCATCTGTGCGGCGGTGGAATATCACCAGGGCAGTGAAACCCAGGCGATGGCCAGCATCGCTGAGAAGATCCGCGTTAATGTCATCGAAACCCTGACTCGATCATCCCAATCCGCCCAATTGCCTCGTGAGGCGGCGTTAGAGATTGCGAGTGAACGTGTCCATCGAGCGATGGGATACCTGGTCAGATTTTAGCAGCCCTTTGTGGGCGCCCGAAAGCAATCTGGGGTTCATCTTGCGGGAAACGAGAGGGGACAGCGACGGATTCGTGTTCGCTGTTGTTGAGTTGTAGAATCCGAACATTGCGCTGCACTTAAAGAGGACCTATGAAAGTCGATCAAGCTGATTTGCGTTGGATGTGTCCGCTCGAGTGGCTGGCATTCGAAACGACCACCGAGGTTGAAGATCACGACCGTATTGAAGGCCAGGAGGACGCCGTAGCAGCGTTGACTTATGGCCTGTCGGTGCCTTGTGACCAGCAGCATATCTATGTGCGGGGCATGAATGGTATCGGCCGTATGAGTTTGTTGACGCAGTTAGCGAAGGATATGCAACCCTTCTGCGCGCCCGTGTCGGATAAAGTTTTTGTACATAATTTTGTTCAGCCAACCAAGCCAGTTTTGATCGAATTGCCGCGCGGCAAAGCCCCTCAGTTTGCAGACCTGATGGTGCGCTTTACCAATTTTGTCCGCGATGAGCTGAAGAAGTATCTCAACTCTGATGGCCTGCGCAGCCGGCGCAATAAAGTGCAGGAGGAAGCGCAACAGGCGATGCAGCGCCTGGGCGCACCATTTGAAGACTCTATGCGTGAACAGGGGCTTGTGCTTGTGCCCATGGAAGCGGGTGGCGTGATGGTCCCTTCAATCTTGCCGGTGATCGATGACAAGCCGGTGAATTCTGTTGAGTTCAGTGAATTACGCCGTACCGGTAAGCTGTCGGATGAAGAGGCTGAAAAAATCATGGCGAAAATCGGCAGCGCCAGTGAGGTACTGAGCGAAGTCACGGAGAAAGTTCAGGAAGTCCAGGAAAAGTATGCGGAGCAGCTTCAACAACTGGTTAGACAGGAAGCCAGGGATATCGTGCATCGGCGACTGCAGGTCATCAATAACATTGCGCCGGATGAAAAGCTGGCCAGGTTTCTGGTCGACGTTGAAGAAGACCTGGTCACCAAGCGTCTGGCAGAGCTGGAAAACCCGGCCTTATCTCAACTGTACAGCGTTAACGTCATTGCCACCCACGCGGACGACGAAGAGATCCCAATAGTGATCGCGGGAAATACATCGGTACAACACTTGCTCGGATCGGTACCACATCACTTTACGCCTAGTGGTGCGATGTACAGCGATCACACAATGATTCAGGGCGGATCGCTGATCGCCGCAGATGGCGGCTACCTGTTTGTTGAGGTTCGGGATTTGTTGGAAGAGCCGGGTGCATGGCTGCAACTGACCCGGGCGTTGCGATCACGTGAAGTCGATCTCTCCGCTCAGGAATTCTCACCAATAACAAGTGGGGCGACGTTAGCGCCACAGCCCATACCGATTCAGGTCAAAGTGGTACTGTTAGGCGATTATTACACCCACCAGATGCTGGATGCCTATGATCCACGTTTTGGCGAGTTGTTCAAAATCCTTGCTGATTTCGATGATTCAATGCCGCGTACGCAGCAGAGTGTGGCTATCTTTGCCAGTGTTGTCGCTAAAATTGTTAAAAAGCGCGATCTGTTGCCACTGACCGCGACTGGCGTGGCGCTGGTGGCGGAACATAGCGTCCGGATCGCGGGACAGAAAGACCGCATATCGGTGCGTTTTGGTCGCATCGGCGACATTCTCCGCGAGGCGGACTGGGTTGCCCGGCGCCGTAACGGTGAAACCATCACCAGAGAGGATGTTGCCAAGGCGATCGAGTCGGGTCGACAGCGCTCAGATCTGTCTGTGCGTCGATTTCGCCGTATGATTAAAAACGGTGACATCAACATCCACGTAACAGGCGAGCGTACGGGGCAGATCAATGGTCTGGCAGTGTCACGCACCGGGCCGCTGACCTACGGATTTCCAGCCAGAATCACAGCGTCTGTAGGTGCGGGTACTCAAGGCACAATCAACATAGAACGGGAAGCTAATCTCTCCGGCAGTATTCATACCAAAGGTTTCAGCATCGTTGATGGCGTAATGAGACGCCTGATCAGAGTCGATCATCTGATGGCATTCACCGGTTCAATTGCGTTCGAACAGAGTTATGGGGGTATCGATGGTGATTCCGCATCGTGCGCAGAACTGTGCGTATTGCTCAGTGCATTGTCCGAAGTACCGCTGCGACAGGATCTGGCGATAACCGGCGCGATAGATCAGCAAGGCAACGTACTGCCCATCGGTGGTGCCACGGAAAAAATCGAAGGCTTCTATGCCACCTGCAAAGACCTGGGTATCACAGGTAGCCAGGGTGTGATTATTCCTCAATCAAACGTGGGGGATCTGGCACTGAGTGAAGAGCTTGTGGAGGCTGCTGAACGGGGCGAATTTACAGTGTACAGCGTTTCAAACGTATACGAAGCGCTGAGCCTGTTGAGTGGCAAACAGGAACAACCAAGAGGTGCTGATGGTTACGCAGCTGGATCGTTGCTGGCCATGGCAGAAGAGCGCGTTACAGCCTACTGGCGACTTTTATCAATCAAAAGCAGTACTGACCCTGATCCACAAGGGGTTTAGCGAAAGGGTTCGAAATCAGGCGCCTGATGAAAGCCGTCTCTGTTGGGCATGTTAACATCAGCCACATTGTCCTGATTTAAAACTGCATCTCCAGGCACTATATCGTTCAGGTGCAAAACGTAAGCGGTAACGGCATAGACTTCGCTGGCGGCCAGCGATTTCTCGCTGCCATATGGCATGGCACGATTTATGTAGTCAAACAGTGTGGTTGCATACGGCCAGTAACTGCCAACGGTTCTATTGGGGGCAGCTGATGCAAGGGTGCCTTTGCCACCCACCAGGGCGTTACCCCTCTGTTTGCCATGGCTACCGTGACAGGAAGCGCAATGGCTTGCAAAAATGTGCTTACCGAAACTGACACTGCCTTCACCCTCTGGAAGACCTGTACCGTCTGGCATCACAACAGATTCAAAGTCGCTCGGTGCCGGTACGCCGAGGGCAGGTAGCAGGTGCACGCCAAGGTCCGATTCTGTGTCGGCATAAGCGCTTGTCAGCGATATCACGGAGCCTGTGAGCAGCACCCAGATAGCACAAGCCCTAGGCAAGGCACCAGGGTGATTATCGTTAGCCATGCACATTGCGGACTCTTCCAGTTTCATCCACCTGCCAGCTCTGAATGCCATTAAAATGATAGATCACCAGTTGTGATTGATCGCGCAATGCTACTTCTCTGGTTGGCTGAACGTTGCCCGCCTGATCTGTGGCGCGACTCTGCAAAATCGCGGGCTGGCCCTGCCAGTGCCATGGAATGCGGAACCTTACCGGTCGAAGTGGCGCAGGTTCGGTCTGCAGTTCGGATTCTGCCCAGCTTTTGCCACCATCTGCACTGACTTCAACCTTGCGGATGGCTGCGTGACCAGACCAGGCAAGCCCTGTGATTGGATAAATGCCCCTGGTGGGTAGCTGCATTTTTCCAGACGGTGAGGTGATGAGCGATTTAACTTCCATTCTGAGAGAAAACTGCCGTGCTGTACCGTCATGCATCAGGTCCGTGTATTTGCTGGTTTCCTCGCGGGTATGTGCTGGTTGACTGGTCAGTTTCAAGCTTCGCAGCCATTTGATGCTGATGTTACCCTCGCAGCCCGGTACAAAAAGCCTCATTGGAAAACCCTGTGCGGGTCTGATGGGCTCTCCGTTCTGATAAAGCGCAATAATTGCGTGTTGCGCGATCGCCATTGGGATGCTGCGGTTGTTCCCGGATGCATCTGCACCTTCTGCAATGATCCAGCCTGACTCGCTGTCTGCACCCGCTTCGTCAAGCAGGTAGTGTAGTGGCACACCTGTCCATTCTGCACAGGATAGCAGACCAGACATTTCGCCAGCTGTCATATCAGGGGCCTCACCAATGGTGTTGCGATAACTGTTGCCGGAACATTCCAGGAACCAGGTTTTTGTCTGTAGTGGATATCGCTTAAGTGAATCGCTAGTGAAAGTCAGCGGCTTTTTGACATTGCCAAATACCGTTAGCTTGTGTTGCTCCGGATCGATATCAGGAATGCCACTATGATGACGTTCAAAGTGCAGGCTGTTTGGAGTGATGATGCCGTTCAATGATTGTAGTGGGGTGCAGGATGCGCCTTCTGCCGGACCAAGCGGGTTCTGAGTAATCTGTTCGCGCTTGAGCTGAGTGAATCTGGATGGTGCCCCATAGGGACCGGGTGGCTCTCCTGGATAGGTCATCCAGGGGCCATCTGCCATTGCCGGAGCCAGCAAAGTGGCACCGCTTGCAGCTACGCCCGCCTTCAGAAACCAGCGTCGGTTCAGCAGGCCATTAGCAGCCTCGGGGAAATCGCTCACGCCGGCAGCTCCCCGCGCACAGTCACGCGATGCATCTCTCTTGGCAGATCATCGTAACCATGAATGGCATAGTGCATCACACAGCAATTGTCCCACATTACATGGTCGCCAACGCGCCAGCATGGCCTGCAGGATCGAAGTTTTTGTTTCTTGCTCCAAGAGTACCGCTCAGCCGTTCTGCGTTGAGGCTCTGCATCTGTTTTCTCCAGTCAACCTTGGTGTGTTGTGCCCCGTAGGCCAGCATATCAGATAATGGATTGTGCCTTATGACTCCAGGGTAACAAGTTGTTGCCGGGATACAGATACATCAATAAATCGCTTCAGTTAAGCCTGGTCCCGGTAACATCTGCAAGGTTGAAATCTGCGATAATGATCAACTATGGAACAACTATCAGCAATTGACGCAGGCTTTCTCTACGCTGAAACGTCCCGCACGCCCATGCATGTCACTGCACTGCAGATTTACGAACCCGTCACCGCGGCGTTCAGTTTTGCGAGGATCGTCAATAACGTCAGACAGCGGGCTGCGAACATTGCCTGTTATCACAGAAAATTAGTCACCGTACCTTGGGGATTGGATCATCCATATTGGGTCAATGACACAGACTTCGACCCGGATAACCACATATTTGAATACACCCTGGCAGAGCCGGGCGGATGGTCCCAGCTGTGCGCGGCGACAGCGCGGTTACATGCTCAGCCTCTCGATAGAAGTAAACCTCTCTGGGAGATGCACATCATTCCCCGACTCGGTGATCTGGATGGCGTTGCAGATGACGCCTATGCCATTGTGACTAAAATCCACCACGCTGCGGTTGACGGCTTAGCCGGTATCAGCGTGACTGGTGTGCTTCATGATGTCGAACCAGATGCGCCGCCTTTAACACCATCCGTGGTACCCCAAGACGTCCCGCCGACACCCATCGCGCTGCTGTATCGTGCAACGGTAAAAGATGCCACGCGTCCCCTGCGCGCCCTCAATGCGTTACCTGCCTTCTCAAGAGCGAGTAACGTCCCTTTTCCGCCTGGCGCGCCACGGACTCGATTGAATGGGCGTGTGACCGGTCGACGCGTATTTAACGCCTTACATTTCCCTCTTGAACGCCTGCACGCAATCAAAAAACTGGCACCTGGTGCAACCGTCAACGATGTGGTCTTAACCATCGTCGGCGGCGGCATGCGTCAGTATCTTCGGCGGCATAACGAGCTACCAGGTCGCTCATTGACAGCCATGGTGCCTGTCAGCACACGCAAAACGCTTAATCAAAGCGACGAGGGCAATCGTATTTCGCAGATCGTGGTACCCGTGGGTACTGACATCGGCAATGCAGTTGATCGCCTGCGCGAGGTGGCGAAGGCGAGTGCAGCGGCAAAGGAACAGGAACGACGCTTTGACAGTAATACAACAGGCCTGCTTGCTGAGTTAGCCGAGCTTCCGCCCGCGCCATGGTTGAGGTTTGCCGCGCAAACACTGCAGCCCAAGGCTGGTTTAACAGTAGCGAACACGGTTGTCACTAACGTGAAAGCGCCGCCAGTACCACTGTACAGTTGCGGTGCAAAACTTGTGCAGGCCTATGGCACCGGACCTCTTGTGGATGGGGTTTCTATTTTTCATGCAGCGATGAGTTATTGCGGAGAACTTAATTTAAGTGTCACGAGCTGCGCTTCGATCCTGCCCGATATGCAGTTTTACCTGAGCTGTCTGCAGGACACTTATGACGAGCTGGACACGCTGGCAACAAACGCCGTCGACGCGCCTTAAGGCTGGCTTGATGCCCTGAACCCCAAGGTCCAAATAACTTTGCCGCCTAGGTCATACCAGCGCATTCTGGTACATTGCCGCCAGAAGTATGCACTATCTCTGAGGTGACTAACCATGCCGAATATACGATTCAGTAAAACCCCCAACACATCCTCGTTACGCTTCTGGGCGTGGCGTGATCAGAACCGTCGAATGCAAAACGCCAGGAAAGCGGATGCAGACCAGGCTGAGGCCTTTGCCGAACAGGCGCAGGCAATTCGCGAAAAACTTAATTTCCTGTTGAGCGCCGGCCTGTCGGAAGGTGCAGAACTATCTCTCAATGCCATGGCCGAAGAGGACATGAATGACTTCTGCATTATGGTTGATCTGGCGGAGCCCGTGGACATTCCCGGCGTGCCCCCGCTGGAAGAAGATATCCGGAAACATCTGCATAATTTCCTTGATTCCGATCCGTGGCACGCACTTGTCATCGATAATGACATTACCGTAGCCCTGGCTTCACTGGATGCCATTGGCGCTGAAGTGTCTAATCGGCCCTGGTATGAGATTGCTCCACACCTGGTGGAGTTAATTGCCCGCCTTCTGGATCAGGTCAATAGAGAGCAGCTGATTCGATTTGTTGGTGAATACAATGCCATTGCCGAGCGGGACGATTTACATCTGCCTGCAGAACTGGGCAGTCTGTTTGAAGAACTTGTGCATAGTGCTACCCAGCGTCTGGGTATGCCTAATCAGGTGATCAGGAAATAATTCACGGCCTGATAAAGCATCATAAATTTTTGTAACCTCACCGACGAGGGGCCCGCTGCAAGCAGACTAGGTACATTCCGTTATTACATACACGCAGGCGTATCGCATACTCGGGTAACAGACATATGCATAATGTGAGGGGGCTGCTTTGATTTTACCGATACAAATCACCTGGCGGGACATACCGCAATCAGATGCCGTTGAATCCGTGATCCGTGAGAAAGCTGACAAGCTGGATAAGTTCTTTGACAAAATCACCAGTTGCCGGGTGTTGGTGGAGTCTTCCCACAAACGACATCACCATGGCAACCTCTATCGTATACGCATTGAACTTGAGGTTCCGGGAGATCAGATTTGTGTCACTCGGGATGCAGGAGATGAGCATGCACATGAAGACATTTATGTCACGCTCAGGGATTCGTTCAACGCGGCTCGCCGACAATTACAGGATTATGCCCGGGTTCGCCGTGGTCACGTGAAACAACATAATGGGCGCCGCGCCTCGGCTGACCTCGAATCTGATGAGCAGGCGAGTGAGGAAAACTCCAGTTCGGATCACCCGTCTGATTCAGCCTGATCAGGGTTGGCTGAGTCATACCTGGTGCAGAGCCGCTCTTGTTAACAGTTCGCTGAAAGTATCGAACAAGCCTGTTTTCCCTGGGACTTTCAGAGGCAGACACTCAGAGCGGTATGCGCAAGCGAATCGGCAAATAATGTTAGACAACCTGGAGTGCTGAATAGTCTCGCACAAGGAGCTGATATGAAAGTCGCTATTGCAATGATGAGTCATGAAACCAACACGTTCTCGCCGGTCATAACCGATCTGGTCCGTTTTTCCGGCGGTGGTGCACAACCCCCGTCTGGCGCTCGGGCCCTGGAGCTGTACCGCGGTACCGCAAGCTGTCTTGGCGGTTATATCGAGGTGGCCGAAAGTCAGGGCGCCGAGATTCTGATGTCCATTGCCGCCGCTGCAGCGCCCAGCGGACCGGTGGAAAACGATACCTACGAGTTTATATGCGCGGCTATCTTAGAGGCAGCCGCCGACTGTGATGCCATGTTGCTGGACTTACATGGCGCGATGGTAACCAAACGTTTCGACGATGGTGAAGGTGAGTTATTGCGGCGCATCCGCGAATTAAGGCCCGACTTGCCCATAGCGGTGTCGCTCGATATGCACGCCAACCTTACGGAGTTGATGGTGCAGAACTGTACGTTACTGGCCGGCTATCAGACCTATCCGCATGTGGACATGGATGAAGCTGCGCGGCGGGCGGCGCGGTTGTTATTTGCAACGCTCGCTGGCGAATTTCGGCCCACCATGGTGTGGGGTAACGCACCCATGTTGCCTCACGTGATGCGCCAGGGCACCGATGATGAACCCAATGCAGGTCTGCAACGGCGAGTGGCTGCTATGGAACGCGATGAACACTGTGCGGTGAGTCTGTTCACCGGTTTTCCCCACGCCGATATCCATGACACGGGTCTGTCGGTTGTGGTGGTCACCGATGCTAATCAGAGCCATGCTGAAACACTGCGCGATGAACTATTGGACAGTGCCTGGCGCCAGCGTGAACAGTTTGTCTATCAGCCGGAGCCGCTGGTAGAAAGCATGGCGCGAGCACAAAGTCTTGCGGCCCAGGATGGAGGCGGACCGGTGGTGATTCTCGATCACTACGACAACACCGCGTCCGGCGGCACCATGGATACCACCGAGGTGCTGGCTGCCGTGTTAGCTGCGAAGCTTGAAGATGTTGCGGTGTTTGGCTTCTACGACCCTGAGGCGGTGGCGGAGATGTCGGCGGCTGGTATTGGGGCTAAGGTGACGTTATCGCTGGGTGGCAAACTGCCGATGCCGGCATTGGCGAAGTCCAGTCAACCGCTGCAGGTCACAGGTGAAGTCACACATTTAAGTAACGGGCGTTTCCCGGCAACTGTTGCAATGTCGCGTGGATTAACCATGAACATGGGTTTGAGCGCGGTGCTGAGGCTGCCCGGGGACGTTGACGTGATTGTTGTATCGCGACACATTGAACCATTCGACCCCGGTTGTTTCCGCAGCATGGGCATCGAGCCTCAGACGCGGCGTTACCTCATGCTGAAATCCCGCGTGCACTACCGTGTTGGTTTTCGTGAAATGGCTCGCGCGGTGGTGGAGTGCGCGGGTTGTGGCGTATGTACGTCAGATTATAATCAGCTCGAGTTTCACAAGGTCAGGCGTCCGATCTACCCGCTGCAAGGGGCCGCCCCAGGGCAGAACGTTGATCGGCACCAGTGGGAGATTGATCATCAAGTTTGAGGGGGTGTGTTGGGTTTGCTGGTATCATTGGTCAGCTCGCTGTTTAGTGTCTATCGCCTTGTTATTTTATGAGGCATTCCGCGTGAAATCGGCACAGCGCACGTAAGGGCAGGGTTGCTTTTTAGCAATGGCGTGAAAGCACAACTCTGGGGGTCTGTTGGCGCGCCGAGTCTGCGCCAACAGACCCAGGCAACAATTGAAAGGGCGGTGGACCAACAGCCTGTAGCAGCCGGCCGTATGGTCAGGCGGATCCAGAAGCATTATTGTGATAAATATCGCAACCGCATCTATGCTGAGGCCTCGATGACTGAACTGTCCACCCCCCGTCCCCACCCGTTTGCGGATCTGATCGGATTCGAAATCACCGCCCGCGGAGAGGGGCTTTCCACCTGCGAACTTGTGGCAGCGGAACGCCACCTGAATCCGAACGAGGTGGTTCATGGAGCGGTGCTCTATGCGCTTGCGGATACTGGCATGGGAGGCGCGCTGAGTAGCGTGCTAAAGGAAGGCCAGTTCTGCTCAACGATCGAGATAAAGATCAACTATTTCCGGCCGGCACGAGTGGGCCCTTTGCGTTGCGAAACCCGTGTGGTTCACAAGGGCAGTCGAACGGGAGCGCTCGACAGCGAAGTGTTCGACGAAAACGACAGACTGCTGGCCCGTGCGACCGGCACCTTCATGATCCTCGATGCGGTATAACGGGCGTACTGATCCAACACTTCAGTAATTCGTTCCGAAAGGTCTGGGTGTGCGCCTTTCTGAACGCCTCAAGGATAGTCATTGTTGGCGATAGGTGCTGCTTGCACGATGGTGGGTAGCTTTTGAGGTGCTCGCCATTATTCTGTTTGTGCTTGTCTTGGGCGTGCTGGGGGAAAGGTCAGAACGGCTCAACATCACCTGGCCTGAGATCGCCTATCTGGTGGTGTTATTCGGTACGTTCACCGAAACCAGCGGCCAGGGCTTGTCACGCAAAGCCCATGCAATGATCAGTGCGGGCATAATTATGTCGTGCCGCTTGTTACGATTGGTTTGTGGAAGTTAGTTAACACTCCCTCCACGAGCTAGCGCGGATCAATTGGTGTCTCAACACCCAACGCAGTTTCGATCATCGCCGCGCCATCCAGGCACAAGTAGTCACTAAAACGTCCACCGGTTAACAGGACGCCAACCGGCATGCCATCGACCATGCCGGAGGGTACACATGCGGAGGGCAGGCCAAGTGCATTGCCGGGCATGATACATCTTGCCTGCTGCATGGTTTCAACGGCACGCCCCTTTTGCGCAATGTCCCACCCCACATGAAAAGGCAGTTGGGTCCAGGTTGGAGACAACAGCAGGTCATGCTCGCCGAAGAAGGTTGCCCATTGCCGAGACACTGCCATGCGCGTGGTAAGCCAGGTGCCATAATCTTCGACACTCGGTGTCTGCCGACCGTCACGAAAATCCTCAAGAAATGCCATTGCATCACCAGAGAGGAGAGGGGCCAGGAGGGGTAATGTCAAAGAAACATCGTTATCGAGCAGGTGCGTCCATAGCTCAATCATCTGTACCATACCGGGAGGTGATGCTTGCGTCACGATGCACCCTGCGGCTTCCAGCGCGCTCGCCGCGTTTCGGGTAACGTCAGCGATGCGTGAATCGGTGTCACCGCCGGGCGGTTCCGCCATCAAGGCAATTTTTAACGGTCTATCGATTGTGCTTAGTTCAGCGCTCATGCTGTTGGGATCTCGAGGGTGATGACCCCGCATCAGATCCAGACCTAAACGAACATCGGCGACTCGTCTGGCCATCGGTCCATCACTGAGCATTAGCTGAAAGCTGATGGGTTCGTCTTCAGATGGAATGGTCACGGCATGAGGCACGATGCCCTGGGTAGGCTTGATCGAGGCAATTCCACAGCAGTTTGCAGGGTTTCGCAGTGACCCGCCAATATCATTGCCCAGGCCGATAGGGGACATGCCGGTCGCCAGGGCGACAGCTTCGCCGCCGGAAGATCCCCCCGTGGTTCGATCAGCATTCCAGGGATTGATCGTCGGGCCTCGAAGCGCATTGTCGGTATGCAGCCGCAAGCCCATCTCCGGTAAGTTGGTGCGCCCGATGGGAATGGCGCCAGCCGCCAGCATGCGGTCAACAATGGGTGAGTTCATTGTTGGAAAAGCTTCTGCGAGTGCGGGCACGCCCTGAGTTGTGGCGGTACCGACACAATCAATGTTTTCTTTGATGGTCATGGGCACGCCGGCGAGAGGGCCTAACCGTTCGCCTTTTGCGCGGGCACGATCAACTTCTGCTGCTGATTTAATGGCGGTCTCCGCCATCACGACCACAATGGCGTTCAGCGCCGCGTTAACTTCTTTAATTCGCTCCAGATGCTCTGTCACCACCTGTGTGGCAGTGAACTCACCCTTGGAAATTCCGCTGGCCAGTTCAATAGCACTGAGTTGCCATAGTTTCATCGTTCACTCCGCCATCATGTGTTGTTCACAGGGAAGAATTGCACGGTAAGAGTTGCAATAACAACCGCTGGTTACAGGCTACCTCGAGCTGATCACGATGAAATGGTAAGCTATCGCGTTATCAATATCCCGTCCCACTAGACATGGCCGTACCTTGGAACCTAAAGATCGCAAAGTAGACGTAGCCCTGGCGCTTCGGGCTTACCAGAACATTCTGGATCACGGGCAGCGTGATGAAGACAGCTTTGTCTATAAAGGCCTCCGAGCAAGTACAGACTTTGATGGTTACACCGTTACGCTCAGCGATGGCACCATCACCTTGCGCATATTCTTTCACAATCGGTTTGCTATGGAGCCAAATGACAGCAAAGCCGTTGATCAGTTCCTGATACGATTGAATCGCGTTGCCAAAGCCAACGCGTGAAACGATAGAGCACTCGCAACAGTACAAGAGGTTATCAAATGGAAAAACGCCGCATGGGACGCTACGGGCTGGAAGTGCCCGCCCTCTGTCTGGGTACCATGACCTTCGGGCTGCAGGTTGACGAACCCGGTTCCCGCAAAATCCTGGATAAAGCTTTTGATCATCGTCTGACATTTCTGGATACCGCAGACGCCTACCCATTGGGAGGGTCGCTGGACACTATTGGTGAAACCGAAACCATCATTGGTCGGTGGATGAAAGACAAAGGCAACCGGGATCAGATTCAGCTGGCAACAAAATGTTTTGCACCGACACGACGCGGACCCAACAATATGGGTTTGTCGCGGCAACACATCATGGAATCGGTTGAGAACAGCCTGCGCCGCCTGCACACAGACCACATTGATCTCTACCAGAGTCATGGCTTTGATGTGCATACGCCGATTGAAGAAACGCTGCGCGCATTTGAAGATCTCGTGCGGTCAGGCAAGGTGCGTTACGTCGGCTGTTCCAACTATCCTGCCTGGCGTCTGGCAGACGCTTTACGTGCGGCTGAACGCCTTGGTATCAGCGGCTATATCAGCGTCCAACCTCGGTACAATCTGTTGTACCGGGAGATCGAAACAGAACTGTTACCTTTGTGTGTCGATCAGGGCCTGGGTGTGATTGTCTACAATCCGCTGGCCGGGGGTTTCCTGTCCGGTAAATACAAACCCGGTCAGAATCCGGAGGAAGGTACACGTTTCACCCTGGGCAGTGCTGCAGATCGTTACCAGCAGCGGTACTGGCACGATGCTCAATTTGCAGCCGTTGAGACGTTAAAAGCGGTTGTAGAAAGCCAGGGTTTGAATATGGTCTCTGTTGCCATCGCCTGGGTGCTGCAGCAGCCGGGAATTACATCCGCATTGATCGGAGCCTCCAAACCTGAACAGCTTGACGCTAATCTGGCAGCATTCGATGTCACGTTTGATGAGGAACTCTCTGCCGCCTGTGAAGCGGCATGGTGGTCCTTACCCAGGCAACCGGTCCAGGAGGGGTATCGTTAAACGGGTGCATCTGGGCCCAATATTGCTCTGGAGGTACCCCAGCTCAAATTGCAGTTGCCGAGAAAAGCTTTGGGCAAATCCTGGATGGTGGACACTTCCCCGCTGCTGAAAGATCCAGATCAGTCTGAATTCGGCGTCGGTTCCAGACGTACCGGAACGCCGTCGCAGTCTTCAGCACCCGGACCCATAATGCCGACAATCTGATCGGCAACACCGTACTTGGCTCGTCGCAGCTGATGGTAAAGCGCATGGGCATCCGGATCGGGTGTGCCGATGTAAGTTGTATCTTCGCCATTGCGGGTGAGCACGACCTGGGGCACCTCGGACAGCTGCGAAATCCAGTGAGCATCTGGTGCACCGTGTTCAACCCAGGCCTTGCCGCCATCATCGACGATCCAGACACGCACCTGGCTGACCTCGCCGTTAGCCTCGCTCCTGCTGAGGGTCACAACCTCACCGCCAAGTTCAGATGCCGCATAGACAAGTGCTATGAAAAGAATGGGTACACCCAAAATAAAAGCCAGTAACCAGGCGACGATTTTCATCTTGTGTTCTCCTGAGCCAACGGTCAGGCAGGCTCTAAACGTTCGTTTCGATCAAGCTTCAGTGTAACAGTCTGCAGTTCTCAAAAGACACCCGATCGTGATGACCGTTTGTTCAGCTGGCCGCCAGAGCGGTCACCTTTTCACCAAACTCAGCCATCCTGTCTATGCCGCCTGGGCCCGCAAAGAAAAATGCCGGCACCATGATGCGGCCAACACCAAGCTCTTTCATTTGTTCCACCCCGGCTACCGGGTCAGCCATTTGTGCGCCAAATATGGCGTTGACCTCTATGCTGTCAGGATCTCTACCCGCGGTCTCGGCTGCTTGTCGAAGCCGTGCCAACAGGGTGCCCAGTTGCTCGGCGTCGCCTTCACCAGGGAAAAACCCATCGGCGATTTTAACGGCTCTGCGAATGGCGGCATCAGAATCGCCGCCAACCAGAATGGGGATATCACCTTTCACGGGGCGTGGGCTTGAGGTCACTTTGGGGAAATCCACAAACTCACCGTGATATTCCGCATGTGGTCCGCGCCACAGTTCCCGCATCGCTGCAACATACTCATCGTTACGCGTACCACGCCGTGCCCACTCAATACCTAACGCGTCAAATTCTTCTTTTAACCAGCCAACGCCAAGGCCAAGTTCAACACGACCACCCGAAAGCTGATCCAGTGTTGCCAGTTCCTTAGCGAGAACTAACGGATTTCTTTGTGGCACGATGAGAATGCATGTACCCAATTGTAAGGTCGGTGCTGCAGCAGCAACGTAGGCCAGCCAGATCAGAGGGTCGGGAATGGGGGTGTCTGGTTCAGCCGGTATCTTGCCATCAGCTGTGTATGGGTATTTTGAGTCGAACTCGCTTGGCATGATCACGTGTTCTCCACCCCATACCGACTCAAAGCCCACCGCTTCAGCGCGGCGACATAGCTCGATAGCTGAAGGGCCATCAATTGCGACACTGCTGCCAAATGCTAAACCTACTTTCATGCTACCTGCTCCTGATTATCAATTTTCGAGTTGCACCATTGCGGCGCAAGGTCAGTCAGTTGCACTCCAGGCATTTCAATATTTCAGCCTGATAAGCTTTGCCTCGCTCATTCACCACATCCAGCACATGCAGAGACGTGGGTACAAAGCTGAAACCAATTTTCTTTTCCGGATGCCACTGGAAAATAGATCCGCCAAGGCCCATCCAGCCGTAGAAGCCTTCTCTACCCATATTGGCTGCGTGCTCCAGCCTGGTGGACTCTGCATTAGTTTCAGGAAAGTGTGCAACGCCGCCCTGTGTGAATGTGGTGCGGATACCCATATCTCGTTTAACAGGCGCTTCGTGCATCGCTTGCCAGGCTTGTGTACTCAGAATTTCTGTACCTTTCCACCGCCCGCCGGACGCCATAGCCGCCGCAATGTGCGCTAACCCTCGCGCCGAACAATGCGCGTTAGCCGAAGGTGTTTCACCCATCGCTACTGCAGCATCGTTGAAGCTTTCAATCTTCATGTCTTTAATCGGGGCCGGCGCGCCAGCAGTGGTGCCATGGCGCACAGAGGGCAGCATGCGCAGCAGTTTGCCGGAGAGTTGGAAAAAGTTCTCCTTCACTTTCCTGCCCATGAACCTGGGCTTAAAGCTTTCACGGAAATGGAATCCAAAACCCAGCGGCGACACCGCACTGATCCGATGTAGATCATGTTGTTGAACGCCAATCACCGCGTCTGCACCTAACGGGCTACTTACGTCCTCATGTAAATACTCACCTATGGTGCGGTGCCCAGGGTCTACGCGCCGAAACAGCTCGTTAACGATCCAACCTCTGGTAACTGCATGGTATTCCCTGCGGCTGCGATCGCCTTTGCGAAATGTCTGCCCATGGCCTTCGATCACGCGGCCTACCGAGTTCTGCTTTATGTTCTCTCTGAGCAGGTCCTCGGGGTCTAAGGAGACATTGAAGGCTGCGAGCCCCGCTTCGTGCCGCATCAGATCAGCAACAGTTAACTCGTCTTTTCCCTGGGCACCAAACTCAGGCCAGTATTCGGTAATTCTGGCGTTGTAATCCAGTAGCCCTTTCGCAACCAGTGACGCCAGGGCTATGGATTCGAGGCTCTTGCCACTGCTGAAAACGTTAACAAGGGAGTCGGCGTTAAAGTCTGTATCGCCCGTCGTGGAGGCCCACAGGTCAACTATCCGCTCCTCGCCAACATAAACGCAGAGCTGCGCATTTTTCTCAGCCAGCGTTCTCATGTTGTGTTCAAACAACTGTTTTACTGATTCGAAACCGGGCGCCACAGTTCCGCCGATGCGAAGCTGTTCTATCTGATGGTCACCCACGGTTCGTTTCCATAGCGTTCAGCCGCGCCTTCAGTGCTTTCAGAGCGTTTTTGTTAGCGTTTTTGATGGTTTCCATAGACGGCGGCTCGACACTGATATCGCCCAGCTCAGCCAACACCACATGCACATCATCGTGCCCATCGACTTGTTTCATCTGCCTCAACCAACGTTGTACGTTTGGATAAGGTGAAAAGTCGAATACATTTGTGAACTCCGGCTGTAGCTGGCCGATTTCCACATAAGCCGCAATATCTGCCAGCGTAAAATGGCTGCCCGTTATATATTCTGCTTGCGCCAACCAGCCCGATTCCAGTGCGTTCAGCGCGTTGGTCAGCGTTGCTAAGGCCGACTGCTGGACAACTTCGGGGATGTTCAGGTCTTTACGAATTTTAGGTGCAACCAGACCTATGGATGCATCCCGCACGTTACGATGATGGTAGTGAAGGTACCAGTCCACACGGGCGCGGGCCTGATGATCCGTTGGATAGACATCGTCCCATTCATGTTTGTTGCTGAGGTAACACATGATGGCGTGGGCTTCACCGAGCGCGAACCCTGAATCAGGCTCCTCAATGGTTGGAATCGTGCCCCCAGGGTTTTTCGCCAGGAATGCTGGGTTACGGCTGCCATTGTCTCCCTTTGAACCAGGGTTGATGAGCACCAT